TGTAACATGCATGTTATTATTTATGAAATTTAGTCACGGGTAGTCAAAGTTTATAGGTCTTTGTACATAGCGATGTTGCTTTATTAGTTGCTACCACTTTTATTAAATAGTAACCTATTTAATAACCTATTTAAGGCGACCCAAACCCGACACGACACGATTATTAAATGGGTCAGGTTTGGGTTGAGCATTCTTGACACGTTTATTATCCCGACACGACCCATTGCTAGCCAACCCAGTACCTACTATTACAAAAGTGGTTTAAAATATAATTAGAATACTAATTACTTTATTAAATAAAGCTATAACATTTGTCAGTTTGTCTTATGGGAAAACTTGGTAAGCAGGGGCGGATCCACAGAGGAGCAAGGGTGGTCAATTGACCCCCGCAACCCCTGAATCCGCCACATGAGGAAATAAAATTGACCCCTGCAAGGGCTAGATGGCTGGGCAATTCATGCCCTCCATCTGTTCGAGGAAATGCTTGAAAGGAGCACAGCACCTTGAGCGCAACAAACAGCTTCGCGTGCAACGCGCTTCTTTTATTTTTATCATCCTTTGCTCCAGGTTGAAACGACACCATTTGTTTAAGTTTTTTTCTTTTAAAAACATATTAAAATAAACAGGGGCAGCAGCAACCTGCTACCCGATAAACCCCACAATCCCCAATACATTAGACAATTCAAATGAAATATACTATTCTGTTTCCAATTGTTTTTTTTTCTTTTCCCAATCTTTCTTTTTCTCTTTCTTTTCTTTTCAGTTTTTTCTTTTTGTATATATATTTTTTCTTTGTTCCTTTTGCTCTTTACTTTGTGTTTACTTTTTATTTTCCATTTTTCCTTCTCATGTATTTTTCTTAATTAGTTTTTTCAATACTAGAAACATAAATAAGTAAGGTTCAATACATTGATATACTAAAATGCGCGGGATTACATGACAGCTCTTACATCGAATAAGACAAGACAGCTCGATAAGCGAAGAGATTTCAATTGAATTTTGCGGAAAAATTACCTAGCATGTCTCCGTCATTTGTCAGATGCTTTTCATTACCATTTAAACGAGGATGCGCTTCAATCAAAACTAAATAGAAAACATAATCAAAAATCAATCAAAAATGGAGTTTCTTTCGATTCATGAAGCCTCCACAGATTTGAATTTATCTTTGCTCCTCCTTCAAACCAATAAACAACAGATGAAAATGTTGTGTTTCCACACTTTAATTTCCATATTGGTTCTACCTTTGTGCAAGCTGCAAATATGCACAATGACCAATTTTTTCAATGCTCACTGTGCTGCTTCGGTAGCAAATGTAGGATTGTGTCTGCTAGCGAGGAACCAAGAGTGTGCCACATTGACTGCTCAAGTCACATCCTTGAAGGATGAAGTTGCCGAATTGCATAGGCATCAAACATGCAAACCGACATATAGAAGCACTAAAAAAGAAAAATCGAGACTTTGTTGAACTGGTGGAGGTCTTACAGACTCGTGTATCAAGAAGAGACAGATAAGGATTTGAGATGAAGAGATGCAATTCTCTTTGATAATGAACATGAGTATTTTATATGGTTTTATCTATTAACTATGAATTAGAATATTATCGTTTCATTTCGATGGGTATATTTTCTATAAAAAAAAAAATTTAAAACCTTTTACACGTTGACCCCTGGAATTAAAATTTCTGGATCCGCCACTGCCAGTTAGTTTGTGATTACAATGCAATTTGATCCTTCTCTAATTCAATACTCTATGTCATATTCTCGGGATATGGTAAACTTGTGTCAAAATCCCTAATATGACATATCTTGATTATATGATTCAATTTGATGAAATTGAAAACGTTCTTGTTTCAATTTCCATCCAATACTTTGGCCAAAGATTCACGAATCATATCTTTAGAGTATTCTCTCTTCTTACTAAGAGCAAAGATTCCTTGTTGTACATTCACCCGTCTCTGTGTACACGCTGAGAATCCTGAGGAACACTTTTAAGTCACATCATTTTGATACGACTGTATAGTGCTCTCAAAGAGAAACAACATATACACAAGACAACTGTGATGTCTCAAGTCTAAGGATTAATTTGCATTATCACAACTTAGAA